TCCCTATTCTCCTTTTGCTAAGCTTCCCAGAATAATTCAGTTAATTATGAAACTCTGACAAATAGGGAAGGAATATTAGAAAAGGTTGGTAGCTGTTTAGCTTGATAAAATGAGTGAAGTTAAAGCTAAAATAATTTTGTTTAGTGTGGTTGATAGGCGAACTTACTGAACACAAGCATTTCATGAGGGGTTGGGGGTTTTTTTGATCATAATGGTTCATGGAGAGGGTTTTGTCACAGCATGCAATTTGGTTCCTTCCCTTTCAATTTACTGAGTATGAATACATGGTTGAGGAAAATGCAGTGAAAAAGAGGAACAGAGGCACAAGAGTCCAAAGCATTTTGTTTATAAGAATAGTTTGTGTATGTTACGTAAATGAAAAGTAATTTCACAAGCTACCAAGAAAAGCACTATAGTGTGTGTGCAAACACCAAAGACTGAAGGATGCTTCGAAAGTTCTAACCCAATCTCCTGTTAAATACTGGGGCTGCTCAGCTGTTTTTCTTCATCTTTTAGGTTTATGGTGCTGCTATTCAGTTTTATGAGCCTTATCCCCGGGAGCTGCTAACAGAAAAACAACAATGGCAGCTGGGTCTCCTGACAGCTGTAGAGAGGAAAGTGGTTACTTCCAAGTCCATCAATTCCAACAAATGCATCTGCCTTCTCTCACACTGGCCTTTCTTTGAAGCATTTCGAAAATTTCTTATGTTCATCTACAAACTCTCTGTCTCTGGACCTCATCCTCTTCCCATTGAAAAGTATGTAAAGCATTTTTCACATTAATGTGGGAAGGTAGTTATATCAGCTCAAGAAGTCATGTGAGTTACACGTCACACTTAGTTGGTATATTTGCTCCATCCTCTTGCTTGCACTGTGTAGCTGATGTCGTACTGATAGAAATTATTGATGCGTCTGTTTAATAGTAGTGGCTCTTGCAGTGCAAGATAAATGAACTGGATTTTACTGTGGCTTTTCTGGTGGAATATGTCACGCCTATTTACCTTTCTCTTAACTATGTCAAATACAGAAAATGGCTGAGCTATAAGATACATACTAACATTTGCAGTCCTGCATTTTAGGCTAATAAATATAAGCTCAGGGACTCTGTGCATTAGCAATGAATATCTGTGTCTGTTTCCAAGCACGGCAACTAATGCAGGGTGTGTGTGTGTATGTGTGTGTGTGTATGAACTCTGTAGAAGATGCTTTGAAATATGATGTTACCTTCAAAACTGTATTAGACGTCTGGCAGTAAAGTATATGGTTTCTCTTAGCTCAGCCTCATTAGAAACTCTGTAGAATGGGGTTAGGCTGCCTGGGATTTTAAATGGCTTGCCAAAATACCAGTGTGTTCTTATCTTTTGCATACATATCTGAAGCTGCCAGTATTAATTTTCACAAGTGAAATGTGAGTGAATGGAGCTTCTTTGTTTCAGTTTGCATAAATAGACTCTTAAACTTATCAAAACAGTAAACAAATCTTAACAGCCTTTCTGAACATGGTACCATAGTAATTCCAAAATGTGATTAACACTGTTTTCAGTCCCTGATTAGTCGCCAGTGCTCGTTTTCTAACATCTTGTCTTTTCAGGCACATATCCCATTTTATGCACAATATACCTTTCCCTTCACCACAAAGGCCAAGAATTCTTGTGCAAGTAAGCAAAATATTTGCTTCCATTTTTAGTTATAGTAATGGCAAACCCTCTTTCTTGCTTTTGAAAGCCTGGTTTCTTCCTTTAGGCTTTTTACTCAGCTTCTGGAAGGGAGAGGGGAGGAGATGGATGGGTTGGCCTTCTTCGTTGATGTAAACCTGGGGTAACTTAGCAAAGGAAACTATTTCAGACTTAAGGTGGTGTGGAGGGCAGCAGTGTCCTACTTGCACTTTTGAAATTTCTGCCATATATTAGCTTTTCATTTTATAGGCACCATTTGCATTACCTCAGTGTGGGGCTTGTTTGTTTTCTCTCACTTGTCCACCCACTACTGTGGGTCAAAGGTTAGTCCCCCAGGGCACTGTCTTTTGTGCTTCTCTGTTTAATCATTTAATCACCTAGCAGCAGTTACGTGTTCTACGCTGAGTCACAGACAATTTCCTGTAACTTCTGAGAATCATTTCAGTGACTAATACAAGTTCTGTTGACCTAGTGAATACAAGTCCCAAAGATTGTCCCTGATTTGCGTCTCTTGCGTGACATTGTGACTCTGCCTGCCAGGCAGTTTATGAGACTATGGATACAGTTATATGGAATATTATACTGTATTAACTTCGGAGTTGTCCGTATCAATCACATAGTACTTTATGTGTTTCAGCTTTCTGCCCATGATGCATTAATATTGTCTCAGCCGGTTTCTACACCATTGCCATTAAGGTATCGTTATTAATGCTTTAAATATATGCTACTTGAGAAATTCAGCGGCAAATGAGTCATAGAAGGAAGCCAAACATTACTGCAATATTATTAGATCTTATAAGCAGAAAGCTCAATATGCATTTATAATATTATACAGTGTTGTCTTTTTGACATAGACCTGTCCCTTGTAGAAGAATAATGTCACTAATTATCCTGAAATAAAGGTGAATTGCAAGATTATTGTAGGAGCACTGAAGAAAGAAGCAACAGGAGGAAAAAAAATATGTATTTAAGTATCTTGTATTTTCAGAACCTTTGTAGTAAGCAAATTTTTTTTAATAGCATGGATAGACTGTTTGTTATCTTGTTTTTTTCCATTTTCGGATCCAAGAGAGACATTTATGTCAAGCAGTTATGTGAAATCAGTCAATATGCAAGTGTGCAAACATTTCAGAAATTCAAAATTATACCTAAAAATTGGTGTTTGTTCTTGAAGGTTGATGACTGTATCTCTGTGGATACTGCCTGCATCTTCTGGGCTGGAGCTCCCTGTGATTGTGACATGGGGCTTTGTTTGGGTGGTTTTGTTGATTTTTGGTTTGTTTTTCAGTTAAAAACCAAAGTATTCTCCCTTTTTTAACCCAGCCCCATCATATAATATTCTGTGTGCAGATGAATCCCATGTTTAATCACCTCTTTTATACAGACTTTTAGGTGAAAAATTGCAGCTAGCCACCAAACTGTGAAGTAACATATAAGCACTTTTCTAAGGACAGATTTTACACTGCTGTGCTCTTACAAATGTCATTACAATTCCTAAATGTGTACAGTCCAAACAAATGAAGTAGCCTAAACTGTAGAAACTAAAGGCATGTTGCTATCAGAGTGATGGACTGATTTTACTTGACTGGTATTAGAATTTGGTACTGTGATGCTAAGATCAAATGGATACTCTAGTTCATGATTTTTGCCTGAGGTAACCCATCAAATGAAACTACTGGTGTTATTTGTGCTTGGATTCGTTGTTAACCAGTTAGATCCATTTTACTGTTACGACGAGAAGATGCCTGTGCATATATGAGAGAGAGAGAGCACCATAAACAACACAAACTCAGCAGTAGTATGATATAGCATATGATTGTTTAGCAATAGAATATTAATTTAGGTTTCTTTGTGGGAGTACAAGTCTCATAATGAGGTGATAGCTATTAGATAGATAGGTAGATATTTGATGTATAGTAATATTAGCACTATTCAACTGGTTGGTCCCAAACAGTTGCCAGAAGTTTGATAGTGGTGACTTTTTTTTTTTTTTTCCTAGCACTCTGCTCATGAATCTTGGACCGGAAAACTGTGCCACTCTGTTACTCTTTGTATTACTAGAAGGCAAGATCCTCCTCCATTCTCTTCGACCAGCTGTGTTGACAGGAGTTGCTGAAGCTGTAGTAGCTGTAAGTACAAAGTGTTCTGTACAGCAGTGAGAGAAATAAATTCAAACTCCACAGTTGTTACAAGGCTTTTTTAAGTTAAAATTATCATTTTTCCCTGCAATAGCATTTACTTAAAGTGCCCTAGCATGTCTTATTATAGCTATTAGAACGATCAACATGTTTGCATAGATAACTAGGAGATGTACTGTAAATAAGTGGTCATGAAGACTCTTTTCTGACAGCGTTACAAGCCTTTTAGCAATTTCATTTCAACTTGCTGCATGTAACTTCTTGGTTTTTATTGTACAGTATCTGTTGTCTTGTTTTAATGCATTGATTTCATTTAATTTTTCCTTCAGATGATATTTCCATTTCAGTGGCAATGTCCATATATCCCCCTTTGTCCTTTGTCTCTGGCCACCGTACTCAGTGCACCTCTTCCATTTATTGTTGGAGTTGATTCACGATACTTTGATCTGTACGATCCACCACAGGATATTGTGTGCATTGACTTAGACACAAACATGGTGTACATGTAAGTTCTACAGAGTTTTTACATTTATCTGTAGATGGAGAGACTACTGAAATGCTCAGGAGATAAAACTATTAAATGCTATTTTATCCGATGTGGTTCATTTCTTACTGTCCTCTGTTCTTTTTCTCATTTCTAATGCTTCATAGCAAATTAAAACTTACTAAGTCAAGGGTTAACACTTGGCGCTGCCTATAAAAATGTGATGCAGATGTTGCTATAAATTTAGTAACAATGGTAATGTGTTCTGGTTTGTTTTTCCACTTCTAGTACTGCTTATTAGGGAAATGGGACAAAAGCTAGAAAAGAGGAAGAAGAGCTGTTTTGTTGTTTGTTATGTTTTTTTTTTTTTCCTGCCCTATGATTTCTTACATTTTCACCTTGACCTCCCACTTTTTAATTTGGTTTGCCTGTGTTTAGTGACTATTGGTATGAACAGAACCCTTCATGACAGCTTTTGATGCTGTCTTGCACTTGGGGTACTTTATGTTGATAAAGAAATTTTTCTCAAGTTACAAGGGCCAAATATTTGGTGAAATCAATCAAGAAAAATTTGGAGTCTTCATGACATTAAATCTAAAATATTTTCACTTAATTATTATGTTTTTAATGCTTTTCTTAAATTGAAGGTGTTGCATGAACAGTTTCTTCACACGTTCTTGAGGAGAGGCTAATTCGAAGTAACTCTTCTGGTTTTCTGTAATATACCTAAATGAGAGTATAGATAACTGAATTGAAAATTCAGTTGTTTCAGGTGTTTAATTTAATAACTTTATGAATTACCTTTCCATTTTAAATTAATTAGATCATAAATAGAAAGAAGCATCTAAGCTAGTTGAAGATGAGGGTGGACATCATTAAATAAAGTGCACATCTTTTCTCTGTGAAAATATCGGTTTACTTCATGTCATGTCACTTTTTAACTCTAGACTTTTGTTTTTACTAACTTGAGTTAGAATTAGTCATTTGGTCTATGGGTCAGTTGAATGCTTTCTTGATTTTCATTGTGTCAAAAGGACCCTTCCTCTACTGAAGAAAATGTTTCCTTTACGTTACTGAAATGTTATGTTTTATTAATAGCGTCACAGGAAATAGTAAACAATGGAGCAGATTGTGTTTATTTTTTTATTTGTTTTTTTTTCTCCTTCCCATAGGTCCCCATTAAAACACTGCAAAAAGCATTTTCATCACTGTATATCAAAGTATTTTGCCACCAAAAGAATAATTATAATAGGTGCTGTAAAAGAAGAATGTATTGAAGAAACTCAAGGAGGATAACTTGTTTATATGAAGATATTTGCAGTGAAAAATACCTGAATGTTTTTGTTCATAAGTAGAATGGAAGTTGAAGACTGGGTTGCAGAAAAATGAAGGAGATAGGAACAGGGGATATAGGAGGGAGATAAGGATGCTGAGATTCTGTTGGAATGACTGCTAGAAAGACCAAGTACCAACCTTGGATTGGTTACTGAACTAAAAATCTACCAGTAACTGACCTCTTATGAAGCACTCAACTGTAAAGATTTTTGCACCTTTTATTTTTCTGTCTTATAAGTCTATTTCTCTTTCAATAGTCCACTGATCTTTTTCTTTTTTGCTGCCCATTTTGTATATATCTCATCTGTTCCACTTACTTGACTTCTAGAGGAATTTGGCATCTGTAACATTTGACTTAGGTAAATGTGGGATGTTGGTACCTGCATTATGAAACTTTTTTAACCTGGAAATGAGGATATTTTTCAGTTTTGGAGATGTGTAGGTAAAACCAAATCTCCATAAAGCAATTTGTGTTGAAGGTCACACAGAATTCTAAAATACTACATTATTAGTGAGTAAAGATTAATATTCCATTTTATTTCATCCACGTCTGTTTCTGCCCCTCTTTATTTCTGTGGCAATGCTGCTTTTTTTTTTTTAGGTGTAAAAGCATTTAACAGTACTGTTGCTAACTTTAAAAAACTGCATAATAGAATAACATTTGAAAAATTCAATATTTTATAGTACATCAGTCTGTCTGTCTAGTGTCCTTTTAGAGCAAGTTTGCGACTATCTTCCTTATGATAGACTGAAGCTTTATTTACTGCCAAAAAATACTGAAGGCCTTTTATTCATTCAGCATCTTTGTTAATGCCTTGATTTGGATGTTTTCAACTACCTCTGTGAAAGTTACACTGAAAGCTGGTTAAGGAAAGTAGCCTTTTTAGGGCAAAGATTTGAGAGTTTGTTTTATTTTTACAGCAGGATTTTTTCCTTGCATTTTTGGAACAGTACCACTTATATTGTTCATAGGCATGCCATTATGGTGGGGAAAAAAGTGGGCAAAGGCATCCATAAGTGTGCAGTTTTTCTTTAACTCCTGAAACTTTGGCTTCATTCCTAAGATAGTTCTGTGTCGATGCCAATTGAGCAAAATAATAATTGAACAAACATTTCACTGATGCAAAGTGCAAAACAAGCAGTGACAGCATCAGCTCAGATAGTAATAACTGATTTGGTCTTGTAGCCACAAGGTTTTTTGTACTCCCTGTTACAGCAATTCTCCCTCACCTTCTGCCTTCCAGAAAGAGGCATAGGATTTCTCAGGATTTACTCCCTACTCTCTCTCTCTCTCTTTATATCCAACTGCTTAAACAAGGTCTGGCATTGTACCCATTGTCCATCTCTGTTAGGAGATGAGCACCCCTTTAGGCCAATTTACCCCATTGCCTAATCAACCACATAATTTTCAAACTGTGAACTGAATTCCCAGTCTTCCTAGTCCCTCCTAGCCTGTGGTTGAAGCTGGAACTCAGTTGGCATAGACATGTTACGGTGTACCATGTGACCATAAAGCTACCAGACTGGTCTTCCAGCATTTTGCAGTAACAAGTTCATGTTGTATTCCAAACGGCCTTTATTCGTATCAGTAGCAGTACGGCAGGTTTATGGTCGTATAGACTTTGCATAGTAATCACATACAGATTAGTGTGCTTAAATTATATTAGCAAGACTGATAAAAATTCTGAAAGGGAAATCAGCTAAGTGAAACTTCAGCTAAAAAGTCTAAATCAAATCTTAATGCAGATCCTCTTTACAGACTGCAGAAAACTACTCATAACTCAATTGACGCTGTTCTGTATCTGAGGAAATGAAATTCTGAGTTATGTCACTCCCATTTTTTTATTTTTGACAAATAGGGACACTGATAAGATTTCTTTTCAAAATAACTTCTTTCTTTTAGTTACTACGTTCTGAAAATGAAGCACCTCAGGGCTGTGGAAGCTATTCTTTTTTATATCGTCTGTATTTCATATATCCTTTTTTTCCCCTCCCCTGTGTTTTAGATCAGATGATAAGAAGAGCACCAACTGGAAGCAGTTTCCTAAGAAGCCATGTAAAAGTCTGCTCAGCACCTTAAAGAAACTGCACCCACAGCTGGCAGCAGGTGAAATATATAAAATAAAATGGGAAGGGGTAAGAACAGAAACTGCCTAAAGTGGGGAAAGTAAATATTCAAAGAGAACTACTGAATTTTCTGATACACACCTACAAGTCTTAAATTGTAATTGGTATATAAATACAAGGACTTCCTTCTATTGTATGTGGTGTGAATTATTTGTTTAGACTTTTGTTTTCTTTGCTGTGACTTCTTAAAATTTAAGCTTTTTTTTTTTAGCCTTTACTCATGATTAAATTATATTTAAATAAAGATTCAGCTGAAACACATTTGGATCTTGACCTGAAACAATATTTACAGGTCTGACCAAAAATAATAGAGAAAATAGGGATATGAGTAAAATAATGTTGAAAATCTCAGCTATTGTGCAGATCCTGTTAAATATCTCAGATAATGAGTTTTCTACAAAAATTAATTTGCTACAAAATGTTTTTAAATATTCTACAAAAATATTTTGTCAAAAGAAAGAAAAACTGACCATCTTCAGCCTAATGACGTGGACAGGTAAGAGCAAAGTTGTAGCTGACCCAACAGTTCTCAGTTATTGCTTCTTTCTGAATGTAGATAGGCTGTTTAAGGTAAGCTGGTTCAGAGTATGTTAGGTTGCATCATTATGGAGAAGGAGACAATGATAGCCTCATAGATATGCAAGATACACAAAATCTGTAAATTACGGAAACAGAAAAGTATATTAATTAAGAGGTAGGTGTTGTTGCCTCAATTTTCTATATTTTCTTTTTTCAGATAGCCTTTACTTCACAGTAAAATCACAGGATTTCTAGTGTTTGTTAGTTCTGAATATGGGCAAGTAGAAAAAAGAAAAACCTGTCTTCAGCATCTTGCAAAAGTTACCTGTTTGAATGCACTGAATTTTAATATAGGATTGTATGTGTTGCTCCTTGCCAGTTCACAGGAAAACTCAAGAAGGCTCTGCAGTGGAGATGACTCCTATTGAGGCAGATTTCTCCTGGCAGAAGAAGATGATAGAACTCGAGATGGAGATCCAGGAAGCTTTTCTCCGTTTCATGGCATCTATTTTAAAGGGTTACAGAACATTCCTCAAGCCAATCACGCAGGCGCCTTCAAATAAAGCAACTGCTGCTGATTCCTTGTTTGATCATCAAGGTGAGGGTGAGGCAAACCAGCTGCTGATAGCATTGGCAGTGTTACAACTTTAGGGTTGAGGAGCTGCTTAACTTTAAAAGGTCAAAGTTCCCTTTGGTTGTACAATTCGTGGCAATATTTAAAATTGCAATTGTATAAAGTTAAACTATTCAAAGTTGATTAGAACGTGGATATATGCACATAGAACTGCAATTTTGCAATAGCTCTGGTATTAGAAAAGCGGTCTTTCAGCAGCATGATGCCCTCTCTGCGTGGTATATTCCATAGGGGCTGCTCTTGGGAATGAAAGAATATTTCTCAATTTGTACAGAGCAAAGATGCCAAAAGCTCAGTAGTGAAGAACAAAGTAATGTTCTTGATATAAATGGGAAGATAATAGAGAACAGGGCAGAGATCAGAAACATAACAAAACAATAGTCAGCAAAGGTCGTCCTATTTTCCTCATCACCTAACTTTTCGGATCTGTTCATGAGTTGAATGCTAGATAAAATGTCACAGGTGTTTTTGTTTTGTATATGGTGGTGGTGGTGTTTTGGTGTTGGCTTTTTTTCTTTTAATTTTTTTTTAAATTACTGGAAGAGAGATTTGAGAAGAGATTTTTAGTCAAAGGTTTGGAAAGTCTTAATATTTTCAGGCCCATCACCTCTTAGGATAACATAATTTTTATTTTAGTATTGTTTTAACTATTAGATACTTCTGCTTTTGTACAAGGTCATCATCTCCTTTTTCTTGCACAAAAAGTCAACAAACGCAGTGAGCAGATTACATGGGGGTGATTGCTTGCCAAGTATTGTTATCTATGGTGAAAAATAATTATTGAAAAAATGCTGGTTTTTAATCTTCAGAATGCAATTAGTGATAAGTAGTTGTTTTTATCAATAAAGTCAATACTTTATGTATTAGCACTTTGACGCTTTATATGTTCATTTCTTATGGAACTTGTAACTGGTATTTAGTTGTGTGTTCCTTTTTATAACCAGGATTTTTAAAAAGCAGAGACCGTGCCTATACAAAGTTCTACACACATCTCACCAAAACGCAGATATTCAGCCGCTTTATTGAAGAGTGCAGTTTTGTGAGTGACAAGGATACTGGCTTGGCATTTTTTGATGACTGCATAGAAAAGGTGAAAAACATGTAGCAATACTATTAAATTATATGCTTCTGTTCATTGTCGTGGTTTTTAGTTGTAAAGGTAGATACCCTCTGCAGCAACTGTTTTGAGGGACTGGAGTTCTTAGTGGTTAGTGCTGAGTCATTTTCTTCCTTCGTCTTCTTGCATGGTCATAATTTTCTTTTTTGATGCAGGAAACTTTCATTAAAGCCCTGTAGGATGCCAAGCTATAAGATAATGTGAGAAATACCAGTACCTGACACTTTAGCACAATGCCGTCAGTGTCTTCCCTTTAAATGTTAATCACCCTCCCTCTGATGTGGAATTATCTACCAATGGTCATCTGCATTGTTGCTCTTTTTCACACAATTTAAACTTAAAACACAAAAACATGCCTAGTGCTCCACTTGTGGTCAAAACTGATTTATGTAGATAAGATCACCTTTCGTTGCCTGTATTTTATATGAGAAAGATTGCTGTAACCCATTCTTGTTTTTTGAAACAAAGTGTCTTCAGCATGGTTCTGGTCTAGATGGGTTATTGAGTTCATAGCTTCATCTGTAACATGCCAAGTTCACAATATAAAAATTAAGAGCTAGAGAATTATATATGTATTTTTAGAGGTGTTTATATATGATTCTTTCTGGACAGAACCTTCATTTTCCTACCAAGTTCTTACAGAATGAGTCTTTGATTCAATATTGATTCTGATGAAATTAACACTTGTAAACAGACCACCAAATAAGTGTTTAAAAGTTTCTTTGCCTTTATTTTTCTTTCTGCTGAGTATGGGGTATGCATCTAGAGTATACTTTGTTTGATATTGTTAATAATTTGATATTACGGCAGGTTGTTAATGTGTTGCATACTTAAATTGTCATATTGAAAATATCTGCAAAACAGCAGTTACTTTCAATTAAACTAAATGAAAGCACTTTCCTTTGATAGATTTAGGATTTTGTATTTAGTAGATGATGTCAACAGATTGAAAGCATGCCGATTACTGCATTTTCTTACTTTCAGCAAAAGAAGTATTTGAAAAAAAGATTAATTGCTTCTACAGTAATAGCAAAATTAAGTGTTTCTTATGTAATATTTCAGTAAATGACACAGCTTTAATAGAAGTATTCAGGATTTTTTTTCAGTTGAGAAGAAACTCTAATTTTTTTTTTTTTCTTTTTTCTCAGCTATTTCCAGATAAAGGAACAGAAAAAGGAGAGAAGGTACTTTGTCCTTCAGAATGTTTAGGGATATCTGTTTTATTTTTTTCTATATAATCAAATACAGTGTATATTAAATATATTTTTACATATACTAACATAATTTATGTTAAAAATGACATTTTATCCCAAAGCCAAACTCTGTACTTAGAGTACAAACTCTGTTTTCAGGTTGATGTAGATTCTGTTGAAGATACACGGTTGATTGAGCTTGATGAGTCACAAAAAAGTGAACACACAGTGTTTATAATGCCACCAGAACCTCCCACTGATGATGGACAGGATCGAGTGCCAAAATACAGGTACAAGTTAAACAGCCACATGTGGTGAAACTAGAATGCATATGATGTTAAGCAGGGCACATGTTCCATCTTGGTGCAAGACTTGCCTTAACATAATGTTCAGCTATAAAAATATATGAACTGCCCGGATTCTGGTAAGTTTCTGAAGCTCTAGAAGTCAGTGTTTTCTGTGTGCGTATGTTTGAGGGCATGTAGATTTTGGTTTTAATTTTTCAGTAACTTCTTGCCAACTTTATAGTAATACTTCTCTACATGTATTCGGTGTCTTTCTTCCTGTTTGAGCCATTTATGTGTATTTTGTAGCAACTGCAGTGCACTTTGTTTCACAGTGGGAACGTACCCACAGGGGGTGGGTAATGGATCTGCCCAGTACTATTTATCTGCAGCTGATGAATCAAAAAAACAAAACATCCACTCCACTTTTCAGACTTCTTTCATTCAGTGTTTTTCAGCCCCGTGTAGGAAATGTGGAGTTTCAGACACTATGATTTTTTTCTTCCTGTCTCTCTTGGAGGTCATGAAGGTTCTCTTGCCAACTGTTGTCCTTGTTAATCGTCATCTGTGCTTCCCTGACCTTCGTGATATGGATGGCAGTCTGGTTCTTGTTCCCATTGTCTATGGAGATTTAATGTCCAAGGCATGTTCTTGTGATATCTTTGTGAATAAGACTAAAGAGGATCTTGCTATCTTCTTTCCTTCCCCCCCCCCCCCCCCCCCCCCAGCCAGTTCTTTATTCTGTTTGTCAGCTCTTTGCATGCAAGTTGGCTTTGTATGGCTTTCTTGCTATCAGCACGTATGTGAAAAACTTTTCTTTTATTTTCTGTTTTTAGTTATTTATTTATTTTAAATCATTTATATAGCTATAAAAACTTCCCACGACTGGATTTCAAGCTCTTTGACAGGCCACAGGAACTCAAGCTCTCCTTCAGCAGACACCCAGCTGGAAGCAGCATTTCAAATAGTCCAGCCCTTATGGCAAAGAGGACAAAACAGGTCAGATGAATCTTACTGTAATCACTGTGTGAACACTGGAAGATATGAAGTTTTTTGGTAAAATTGCCACTACGTATTTTTACTATGAGTTAATGTTGTTAGAGGTTAGGTCTTCTGTAACTATTGAGAATCAACACTTGTGAAAGAAAGAAACAGAAGGTAACAAATAAACAAATTAACATCTGAGATTACAGTATATTGTAAAACCCACTTTTGAGCTTTAGACTGTAATATAAAACAAAAGGAAATAAAAATTAATGCTTGAATGGGGAAGAAAAAAAAAGAGGATTAATTCTGATACTAGTTTTTGCTTCCAGAGAGCCTTAGTAAGAGAGTGGTAAGAAGGGAGTTGCAGTTGACTGTTTGTCCTTTTGTATTAAATGCTTACTTTTAAGAAGCCAGTATCTGAGTTAGTGATGGCTTCTAGATTCAGGATGTTACATCTTTTGTCTGCTTTTTTGTTTTGTTTCACCCTTACAGGAGATAAAAACAGCCCATAAGTTAGCCAAGAAATATTACGTAAGCCCCCCACAGTGGGCTAAGTGTCTCTTCAGTCATAGTTACAGCCTATGGTTTATTTGTCTGCCAGCCTACATCAGAGTTGCACATCCCAAGGTCAAAGCACTGCAGCAGGCATACGATGTCCTAATTAAAATGAGGAAAACTGATGTGGAACCACTAGATGAGGCAAGTGTGAACTAAAAACTGTTACCATAAACATGGAATAGAAGACAAGGTGCAAATATAGTGTGTTTCACAGCCACCACCAGGTTAAGCATACTTTCAGTTTGACCTGTTTTAAAGCCACCTTGAAATGATCTCAAAGAAGTCTGCTCAGCTAGGGCAACCGGAAATTAATTTCCTTTTTCATCACCAGCGTAGTGTCAGCTGGGTCAAGTACTCCAACTTAGTGTTGCTAGTCTTCTCCCAGACTTCTTCAAGAAGGGAGTTCTTGAATATCCCTGTTTTTTAAATGCACTTTGAATTAATGATTTGCACCCTTCCTGTACTGAAGGGATAATGGTTTTGTGTGCAGCATACCATTCTTTCAGTAGTATTCACAGGCATGCAGCAGCAAGTTATCCTGCTTTTTGCGTGGGTGTTTCCTTCCCTCCTTTATTTCGCAAACAGAAGAACCAAGTGGAAAAAAATTCAGCATTCTCAAAAATGTGACTGGTGATGTTATTTCAGCTCGTGTGGTTTCCTGTTTAATTTTTGCTCCCTCTTCTGGCTGTTGAGTGTTATGTACTGAGTAGCTGCTCTCACGTGGCTCTCCCTTTTACATGTGTAGAAGTTGGAAATTAGGGAAGAGCTTAAGCAGTTTCAAAATCCTTGTCATCAGTCCATTTCTGCATTTCTGTATCTTGTCAGGTCTGCTACAGAGTTGTAATGCAGCTCTGTGGACTGTGGGGTCAACCTGTTCAAGCCGTGAGAGTCCTCTTTGAAATGAAAAATGCTGGAATACAGCCAAATGCCATTACCTATGGTTATTACAATAAGGTAAGAGGAGTCTTGATGAGGGATGCTGGACCAATGTCTCTCTTGCTGTTGTCACTCCCCTTGTTCCTGTAGCATGTTTGAAGATTGTTTTTTACAGCTCTTCACTTGGATTTGCTGATTCTGTTGGGCAAGCAATCGTTTTGGACATGTTTACGGTTCACTGGATCTACACTGTGTGGTTTTACACTGTTAAGTTTACATTCCTGTGCTGTTTGGCTAACCAAAACTTCTGTTGAAATATATATTTATAGTGTTTCCATTTGCAAGTTTTGGAACCTGTCTAGTGCTTCCATGTCAAAACCATCTGTTCCTAGTTGTATCCTTTAAGGTAGCAGGATCCAAGATGAATGAAGGCTGGAATTAGGCTAGTTGAAGTAGCATTCCCCTCTTTTCCTTGCTTCCAATTTCCTGTAATAAGCTGATGAAACTTCTTAGTAAAATAAACTATGAAAAGTAATAGGAAAAGAGGTGCTACTATGGTCTTTTGTTGCTACTGAAGTATATAAATAAGAGCAAAACCCACTTTATTTGCTTAAAGAAATCTTGATCCATTTTTCATTGTTACTCAGCTATTGTATCCAGAGCTGTGGGATAAAAGGGAACAGCTCATAAAAGGGAACAGCTCATAAAAACTCAGATATTTGTTCTTCTTCACATGGTTGACAGAAAATGCCTTTTTCAAGTATGGAAAGAAAAGTTTCTCACTATACTGTGTTTCTTAGTGTAACTTTCTTACTGTTTTTGTTATCGTAATGTCTCTTTCTGTAGGCGGTTTTAGAGTCTCCTTGGCCTAGCAGTAACCGCAGTGGCATATTCCTGTGGACAAAGGTACGAAATGTAGTTCGTGGCACAGCACAATTTAGGCAGTGCTTAAAGAAATCAACGCAGAGCCCACGAGTACCTGTGACATCAGGTAATAAGTTAGTTGAAATGGGTTTATTTCTGCTGAACAAGAGCATGACATGCTTTCTGAGGGATTGCAGCTAACTTTGTGGCTTTTACAAGTGGAAAACTTTTCCTTAAGTGTATGAAAATTGATAATTGCTAACTTGATGCTTGAAACAGTCTTAGCATGTCTTCTGCACACTGAAGAATAATTGTCTGAATTCTGTTGCTAGAATTTCATATTCTTATTTTATATGTGCAAGCAAAAGTATTTGGTGTTGTCTGAAGAGGTTAGATTTGTTTAAAAACCTGAAAAGTTAAATCCTCTCTCACTAACCAGCTCTCGTTCATGTCTTTAGCTCTGCGGAGTACCACGGGTGGAAGTGATGGGGACATGGTGAGCCATGGTAGCGTGGATAGTTCTAATGATGCTAACAGTGGGGAGCACACTCTCTTCGTCAGTGACTTAGTCAGGCTTGATTCCATTGATAATCACTCTAGCACAGGTACTAGATTCTGCTGGGTTTCACTACTAACAGTCCCCCAAAAGGCTAAATTTTCTAGTCTCCTGTTGATTTCCCCTCCACAACCACCATCTTCCCCTCTTGAGGCTGTAGAGAGTGAAGCATGGAGTTAAACTATGAAAAGAAAAAGAAATACACTGTTGTTGAATATTACTCCTTTACCACAGATCATGCTGCTTCTTTAGTTCAGAGTGAACCGTAGCAGAAGTACCATTATGTTAAAATAAATGTGTTGCTGTGGTCTCATGAACCTTGCTTTTTGTGCTAATCTTCAGAAAAGGTATGAAGCCTCTGACATGAGTCCGTTCAATTTTTGCATATTGTTATTTATTCATAGAAATTATAGTCTGTGTGAGTAAAACCTTTCTCTGCATTAAAGGAAAGGAGGGAAAGTTGCTGAGGTGATTAGAAGCTAACTTTAAAATGTTGCTCCTTGATGGTAATCCAGAAGGGCCTAATTAGCATTCCTGGAATTAGTATGTCATGTTTGGTTATAGTAAACTATGCTTTTAAAGGCCATATTCAGGCTTCTTAATAGTTGTTGCTAAACTTGGAAATAAATACAGAAATTATCAGAACCTTGTCATACAGTCTTTGAGAGACTCTGGGAATGAAAAAACAGGTGATAAGCTGGAGAAAAACTCTGCCTTAAACATGGTGTGCACTCTTCTAGACAAACTGGAGTAAAAAGAGTGTACGGGAAGTTAATCACTTGAGATGACAAGATAAAATTAATGGTTGTTCATATCTCCTTTAGTACTGATTACATCCTACCTGTGCACAGTCTCAACTAAACTTCCTTTCTTTGTGTACTTCAAAACTTAATGTACAAATGGTTCTTGCTCACTCTTTATGTTTTTAATATCTTGAGCCCTTCTGTAAAGAGAACTTTGAGTCTGATTCCTGTGCTTCATCTGATATGCCTGCCTAGATTACTGAACTTCCCTTCTCTCTGCTCTCTGTTGCTCTGCTTTTTGCTCTTTGCTGTCTCTCGGGTGCCGCATTTGTCCTTGGCTATCACGGTGTGGGGTGCAGACTTATATGGTGTGAAGCCTTGGATGCACGTGTGCATTATTTCTACCCTTGAATGTTACTTCTGCAGGTAATTCACCCATTTATTGATAGGGTGTTTTCTGTGCAAAGCAGGGATGGTAACATTATTGAAATGATGATAGAGAGAAAATAAAGACCAAAGAATGTCAGAACTTACTTTTTTCTATAAAAGGTTTTTAATATAGTAGCCAAACGTAATGACTGATGACTGCTCAAACTTTTAAATTTAAGTCTTTTTTACATATTTGCACTTTGTTGGTAAAATAAATAGCAGTAATATGTATTGTAGATAAATTATGTCTGTCACTCAAGTTTTATGGAACTTCCTAATACCTTTCACACTCGGTAACTTACTTACACTTTGATCTTTTTAAATACTGTCATGTATTCTAACAGGTACTCTAAGGCATATAAATAATCTTGTTTAACATGTTGCTGTGGGTTATGTCCCATATAATATTTTTCTAGTTTTGCATATGCAGCAGCACTTCAGATAAAAATAACAAAGAAAAGAGTGTCTTTCTGGATTGTTTCCTATGGCAGACTTTTTGGACTACTGTAAACTTTTTTTCCCCCCTTTTTTTTTTTCCTTCCTTTCTTCTTTTTGTTACTCTTTTTTTTAATTCGTGTTTTTAAGAATGAGTTACAGCTGTCAAGTTTAACTGGTATCGTGGAGGAACAGACTTTTAAAAAATGTTTAGACTTTTACTTTTTTTCTATTACATTTTATACTTTGCACTACAGCACAAAGATGTAAGACAGTTTACGGTACAGTTCTTTTCAGGGATGTATTCATTGTTAGAAGCTTGCTCAGTTGCTGTTGTGCTTGTCTAAATTTCTTTTGTAGATGCATTTGAGAATTTAGCCTGCCCACCAACGAAATATTTCATGCTAATGAGAAGGGAAAGGAATGAAAGGAAATATAGTGTGTTAAAAGTAGTTGGTCACGATAGTGTTCCTGGAGGAATAACTTGTATTCCGTATAATAATTAGAAAAATAAATTTGGATTTTATAGCCTCATTATCTCTGCTGTCACCATCACCAAATAGATCTGTGCACAGATTAGGCATTTTGGTGATCTTACTATGAACTTTTCTGGTGAAACAAAATGTGAAACAAATTAATTTCAGTTCTTTTATTTTCTTATTGAAAAACAAATTCAGGAAAAAAACCCAAATCTGAGGCATGTGTTTGTATTCCTTTAAATAGGTGGTCAGTCAGACCAGGGGTACGGATCCAAGGATGAACTTTTAAGAGATGATGGGAATAGTCTTCATGCAACTGAAACACAAGTAGACAAAGATATTTCTTCTAAAGTGGAAGACCTAATAGGAGGTTAAGTATGCATGTTTACATTGATGAAACCTTTTTGTAATAAATCTGCTTCATGTGTTAGACTACTACAAATACTTAATGTATTGCATTCATAATGTTGCCAAGGCCAAAATATGACTGCATGAAATCTGGTGGACTACTTCTGTGCCCTAGATAATACCAGTGGAATACGTATAGGTAGAAATAGCCTATTATTAGACTAATTTAATATAGATGGAAAAATTGGACAAATGCTGGGGCACGCTGTTTTGTATTCCATTCCTCTCATTTGTGTATTGAAAACTTGAGTATTTTTTTAGCTGTACCAGTTGACCTAATAAAAGGCACTACTTTTTCCTACAGACCCTTCCCAGCTGTAGAAAATATGGTCATCTTGTGTCTTGTATCCAGATTTTGTCCTTAGTTTTTCTGTATTTTGTCTTTTCCATTACTGAATCTGTTTCATATCTGTGTTACGAGATCTGTAATGTGAATTAGGGCTTCTAAAGGTGTCATTAGATAAACAGCCCTGCATGAAAATCTGAGAACTGCTGTTCCTGCTGTACTTTCGTTAGTTGAAAAATACCAATGGAAGAAATTGGCATATACTTTAACCTTGTGAACAGCTAAGCACTCTCTGCATAATACTGTGTACTGTCATCTGTCTGGGTATTATTTTCAGGAAATGCTCAGTACCTAGTAGGACTGATCCTTTAGGTTGTAATTACATAAGGGAGCAGTGTTTGAGTTTGTATTTTCCATAACAGTGCAAATGAAATTATTTAGTTAAATTAACTAAAGTTCACATTATCTTTCTTGTAGAGGTTTGTACTGAGAAATCTGATGAAAAGCAACAGCTGAATATGGAAACTCATAGTCCAACAGACCCACCTGCTTGGGGTAACAGTATTGTGAAAGTTCCATCTGGCATTTTTGATAGCAGTGGAAGGAAAAGCAGTGGTGGTGAGTCACTGGGTGAAACAGAGCTTGCTGAAGTCCTAATCTTGTTGTGGTATAGTGTCTTGCAATCTTTTTCATGCTATGAAAAGAAAAAAAATTTCTATTCGAGGTGCAGATATCTCGCACAACATCTGCATTCCACCATTATCCTTTGGAGGTGACTTAAAAGGAACCTGTGGATTCTAAGGTTGAAAATCACTGTTGAATAGATTGAAATCAAGATTTTTTCCCTGTCCCGCACTGAGAGTGCTTCAGTAACGTACTGAACCACCAAGAGAAGTAGGGTCTCTACTCTTGATTTTGTCACCTAAACCTCACTGACCTTGGACAAGTCTCTTTATGACTGTGGCTTACATTGCCAATGTATAACCTGGGAACAATGCATGCTGTCTTCGTGCCATACAAAATTTATTTACATATATGGAGCTTTATGATGAGGAAGACTTACAGATATATAAAAGCCACATCTTGGGGCTCATTTTTCTTCTGCCTTTGTGCCTGTCCTTGACTAAGGCAACATAGTCAGCGTAGCTTGATAACAAAGAATTGAGTCTCAGGCAAGAAGTTGCCCAGTGCCTTTCTGGCAATTATGAGAGCTGATTACTAGTCAAGAAGCAGCATCAATGTGAGACTCAAACATCCTCCAGCAGTGGATATGGTACATCAGGTCCTCTGTTGGGAGCCTAATATAGTAGAATTCCCATACTTATGGAGGTTTTTGCCTAGCTAATACAGCTTTCTAGGCAGTAAGTATTCCCAATTCCCCTGAGGAAATGGGAATATTTATAAGATTAGTTTGTCTTCCACATGCTAAATTTAAGTAGCTTCTTCTAAATATGGCTGTGTCATAAATGAAGTAATGCTCTGTGTTGTGCGGACACACACAATAGTTTGGGGTTTTTTTCAGAATCAGAATGAACTATGGAGTTTGATGTATAGACCTGTGAATATAGCTCTGGAAAAAAATAGAGCAATCTTTACCTATAATCGTACTTTCCTTTAGTTCGTTGATGTAGTACCTACTCTCTGCTGGGTGTTGGCACAGGGAAGGGAGGTA